GGGTACCGTGGGGCTATAGGGGAAACGCCACACGGACTCTGGTGAGGGAACCCGTGTGCATGCAACATGCACACATTATGGCTCCGCCTTCGAGATCCGCCGGGTGGTACCTCCTCGTTCGACAGTCAGAGACCGTCTACGACCTACGGACAATCACAACATCCATAGCCAAGAGAAAAATTTCTCCTGGGACGGGACTCGAACCCGCACAGCGCACGGCAACTGATCAGGAGACCGAAGAGTCTACTACTGCGGCCACCGCTGCTGCCTGCTGTTTTTGACGTTCCAGAGGCATCATTTTCATAAGAATGTTTGTAAGGGCTAAAACTTTGAGGTTGTTGCCCTTAAAACTGCCAGATGGTGCGTAGAGTCTGTGATCGATTTAATTTCTTTTTTATTGTGCGGGAAGTATAAAGGTAACCTTGACGCCTTATTTTAAATGTAAAAATGTGATGAATAGACGGCAGCGGTGGCTCAGTGGTAGGTGTTATAGATCCTAATCAGCCGCCGTGTGCTGCGCGGGTTAGAATCCCGTTCCAAGATAATTTTTCTCTTGGCTATGGCTGTTGTGAATATCCGTAGGTGGTGGACAGACTCGACTGTCGAACGTGTAAGTACCAGCAGAACTCTACGGCGGGGCCAGAATGTATGTGCATGTTGCATTTAGCTTACATGCGACTAAGAAATATAATCAAATTAAAAAACATTTATCAGCCAAACAAAAATATTATTTGTGTAATACCTTAATCTTATCACTTTTTGACTATGGTGATTCGCTATCGTCGCGAACCAAAAAATGCATACAAAAAGTTCAAAATATTTGCGTTTGGAATTCTATATCGAAACCATATCACTCCTTATCTGAATAACTACAACATATTAAACATGACGGATCGCAGAAAAAATCACATGTATTCTTTTATCTTTAGGGTTATAAAAACAGGTCAACCGCCCTATTTAAGAGAAAGATTTGTGCCTTTGCCTCGTGCCCAGAGGAGCAGAAATAATTTCAATTTTATCGTACCAAGGCATAGCACGCGTTCCTTCCGACGATCGTTTGCTTATGTGGCGGTTCACTTATGGAATAATTTACGAACGTCAATTAAAAGCTCATCGCCAAAAACATTCTCAAAACTGACAAAACGTTGGTACAGAATCACCAGCTACTTTAGCAGCGTTAGTGTGAGCAAAAATATCGTTTTTACATTCCCACTTGCTGACAAGTTGTATAGATTTGTTTTTTGCGTCCGTTGCCAGCTCCCAGGGGTTCTTTCTTCGTTTTTGCCTTTTTGTGTTTCGCTGCATTTTCATTTGCCTCATTATTGTTTTTTTTATTTTGTTTAAGCATTTTTAGGGTGTTCAGAGCTTTCTCGCATGTACTCTTTGTATTAAAGGGTCCAATGTATCGGTTTTATGATCGATAGACTGTCCTTTTTCGTCATTGCTCTATATTGTAGAATTTCCTTTGTTTATGATGTTTATTCATGACTAAATAAATATTTTTAATTTGAATGTTGCATGCACACGTGTTCCCTCGCTAGAATCCGTGTGACGTCCTCCCTTTCCCCTGTATCTCCCTATAGCCTCATGGTACCCACGAATGTGTTTAGGCCTCAGGCCTTCGTGGTGGATCAAATATAAAAAAGAATTTCCTTTCTATTGCCTATATATTTATTTGAGGGTAAAAAAGCTACCGATAAATTCAGCACATGTGCTGGCCTACGTCTCTATCGATATTAACAGTTCATTCGAACGTTGTCTGCAAGCATTAACCAGTGACGTAACTGGTGTTCTAGTATACGTACACTGTATTGTAACAACGCTGCATGTATGACAATTTTCGAAAAAGTATCCAGTCAGTCTGAGCTCAAAAAGTATGCACATTAAAATCACTCAACATGTACAGGGCAATCCAAAAAACAATGACAATATTTATAAAGCAGAAAGTACATTCAACCACTGGGGTAGTTGAGCAGTGAACATTTTTATGTTGCTTATACTGCATGTGCAAAATTTCATATGCCTTTATCCACCCTGGAAGTATGTTTATCAATTCGGAAGTTAAATCTTCAACACCATGTATTGCGGTCAGGGGGCATCTTAGGACCCATGTTTGTACAAGCTTTTCTTTTTATTTTTGTATCGATAATTTTTCTGGATTTTTTTTTAATCACCATGTATAACAACTTGTGATTTGGCCATATATGGGCCGTTATATCCTCTGAAAAAAAAGCTATGGTTTAATTGGTCTCTCTACACAAGATGCTAGTTAACACAGAAGATGCATTTAGTTTTTTTAAGATGAAATATCGACAAGAAGAAAGAAAACATCACTGAGTAATTTTACCTCTACTCCAAATAATAGACATAGGTATGTGCTGTCAATATTGCAACTAAAAAGAGGGATAAGCTACCGACTCGACTGTTTGTTATGGCCATTTTTATACAAGTAACGTACGTGTTTGCTAGCTAACGTGAACAGAAACAGACAGCCCTGGCGCCAACAATCTTAACCCACACAGGAGAATGAAAACATTATTATCACCTCTATAAGAAAAGACGTGAAGGTATAGTCCTAGAGGTCCGCCACTGAGGTATTGAGACGGTTATTCATGATTATCCGTAAGATATTGTCCGGTTTGAGTTATGCGGTGCATTTTGCTTGCTAACAGTTTTATTTCTATATGCAGTTACATGATGAAGGTATGTGGCATATGACGTCTTGTCCACGATATCGACATATGGCTGATATCTAACTTTCTGGTTTAAGGAAATTCAATATTTATTATAGAATTCTATTGAGTCCTATAGAAATTTTACTCTGGTTGGTCAGTTTAGACAAATTGTACGAGTATTTGCATAATATAGCGAATAGCCTTGTAACGGGTGATTTTTTAAGAGGTATAGGATTTGATTTTCAAAAAAAAAAACACAAAAAATTTGAAAAAACGATTAAATCTTTATTTGAGTCGATAGAACGGTCGATATAATTTAATGTTTAAAGATTATTTCATGTAAATGTTGGCCGCGGCTCCGCTTTAGATGGCCCATGCGTAAGGTGTCTTGAAACACTCTCTCCAACATATCGGCCGGTATCTCACGAATAAATGCTTCAATATTGGCTTCCAGTGCGTCAACCGTTGCTGGTTTATCCCTGTAGACATTAGCTTTAACATGGCCCCACAAGAAATAGTCCAACGGCGTTAAATCACACGATCTAGGCGGCCAATGGACGGGCCCCAAACGTGAGATAAACTGTTCACCGAACTCGCCTCTCAATAGGGCCATTGTTTCGTGTGCGGTGTGGCACGTGGCACCGACTTGTTGGAACCACATGTCAGCCAAGTCCAGCTCTTCCATTTTGGGCAAAAAAAAGTTTGTTATCATCGCACGGTAGCGCTCGCCATTCACAGTTACGTTCCGGCCATTGTCGTCTTTGAAGAAGTTCGGCCCGATGATGCCACCAGCCCATAATCCACACCAAACAGTGATTTTTTCGGGATGCATTGGTAGCTCTTGCAATGCTTCTGGCTGGTCTTCACTCCAGATGCGGCAATTTTGCTTGTTAACGTACCCATTCCACCAGAAATGAGCTTCGTTGCTGAACACAATTTTTCGATAAAAATGTGGATCTTCCTCCAACTTTGCCAGCGCCCATTCACCAAATTGGAAACGTTGTGGGAGGTCGTGTGGCTTCAATTCTTGCACCAGCTGTATCTTATAAGGTTTTACACCCAAATCCTGTCGCAAAATTTTCCACGTAGTGGAGTAACAGAGGCCCAATTGCTGCGAACGGCGGCGAATCGACATTTCACGGTCATCACTAACACTGGCGGATACAGCCGCAATATTTTCTTCAATCCTCACTCTACGTCTGCGTGTTGGTGGTTTAATGTCCAATAATGTAAACTGGGTTCGAAATTTAGTCACAAGCTTCCGAATAGCTCCCTCAGTATGCCGACCAATTTGCCCATAAATTGGAAGCAGTGCTCGATGCACTCTCTTAACCGAGCATGAATTTTGATAGTAAAATTCAATAATTTGCAAGCGTTGTTCGTTCGTAAGTCGATTCATGGTTAAATTATAGACCAAACTGAACAAGTTTGACAATGACACAAGACACGATTCACGCGTCATCTGTCAAAAACAGTGTTGCTAAAAAGATACTAGCAAAAAAATCACCCATTATAAATGTTTTTTCTCACCAAAGTTGACGCGCAATCAGAAGCCTAAATGCCAGAGCACCCCGACTGCTGAGCAGCTTAAAGAAACTTTGTTAAACCGATTTTAAAACCGCCTAAGGTTAGTAGAACTGGGAAAAAAGCCTCATCATGCTGATTGTTCCACAAGCTCTGAATGTACGAAGTTCGACACGGTTAAGATGAGAGGCCGAAGTCAGGGGAAAACGTACTTCCTGTTGCCTTAGATCTTTCTTTGGGACGGGTTGTACATGAGCAAATTTCCAGTTTTCTGGATTCGCAAGATATCTGAAAGAGACGCGAAAGAACTGGACTTAATTTGATGCCAAATCCTTACAATAATGCTTCAGCGATCATAAGATTTCCTTATCATAAACTACAAATCAAAATGGGTATGAAACGTATAACTTTTTATAGCCAAACGATACTGGAGTTCGGTGTTTTGGATCTTCAAGATAACAAGGATCATGCGTATCATTACGAGAATAATGGAGCTTGAAAAATATTGATAGATGTAAAAGGGCCTCATTTTTATTTTCTTTGTCTTCTTCTTTGTTTTGTCCAAAATGGCAACTCTAAATATGAGACTTCAACTCATTCCCGTTTAACTTTTATCAGCGAAACATCGGAACCTGTTATCGTTGAGGAAAGTGTTTACATATATGCACTACAGTAGTTTTAGTTCTGGCCGCAACTGCACGGACCGTTTTTTCAGCTGCACTTTCTTTTGTTTCTGTTTCCGTAAAACAGAAACATTCGCGCTTCTTAGAAGAACTGGTGGGGTGGTCTTCTAAGCGACAAAGTAGGTTGATGTGGCTATACCGTCTAACAGCAAACCGCGTATCAAGAAGTACCGCGATCAGAGCCGCCTAGATCGTACGGCGCTTACCGGCAGTACTGCCAACAGACGCTCATCTGTTACGCTGCAGAAAAATACGCGCGGGAATTTGCTACCAATTTTTGAATGGATATTAGTGAGTGTTTTGTTAGTTGTGCGTAATAGTGGATTATGTTTGTTTTCTGTCCACTGCGATATGAGCTTGGAAGTCCTCTTTGAAAGATCACATGTTATTGAATAAGATGATTACAATTAGCTTATAACTAGAACAGAGCTATTTGTTGTCAGGTCTTTCAGTAAGTTACCAACATATTAGAAGATTAATTTATAACGTTCGTTTACCTGTCATTATTTCCACAAAGTTTCAGACTTGATGTAATGGTATCGCGTAATTTTACTACAAAGTATTATGTTTATTATTACAATCTAAGTGATTCAACTGTTTCGTTTCTGTAACAGCATATTAAAGTTCTAAAGTGAATATATTTTTACTCATTTTAGAAGCCATTTCAATGTTAGAAAAAGTTTTATCGCTCTTATGCAAAGATTTGAGTTGTAAAATCGCAGTGACTTTAAATCCTGCTGATTGCTTCGTTGGTTAGTGATTCGAACTGACTTTCAATAGAACTGAGCTGTAAAAATGTGCCTCTTGGTTCTTTGCATTTTCAATACTTTTCTCAAAGCTCTAGTGGCTCACAGCGAAAGCCTGGCAAGCCTAGGCTTTGGATATTTGGGATCACGAAACCAAAAGTGGAGTGCTATTTGCAAAGCTATAGAGTCTATATAATCAAGGCTGGCTATAGTGCTTTAAGCAGCGGATATGGGGGACTACATCAGATTCATATGACTCGCCGTAGCCTTAAGCTGGTATGACAAACATTAAGAGTAACCCCAATAAAGCAGCTTCCGGTTTCGACCTTAAGAATAAACCTAAAAATATACCCAGACCTCAAATTAATCGTTATGGAAAATCAAAAGAAGCATTCCTATTTGCTTTTTGGAAATATTTAGGGGTTTAAATGACTCTGAAGTTCGACATTTCCATATATTTTCAAAGAATAAAAAGTAATACCTCTTTTAGTTTTTGATAACGCTTAATTTAATGTCTGTACTCTCAAGGTCGGATTCCAATGCGCATAAACAGGCGAATTACGGAGACATTCAATTTAGAGAGAAAACTACTGAAAACGCATTAACGTTCATCATCCATCCAGAACAGTTGCAGTTATTTTCAATTATCTGTAGACAAACCGAGCTATAAAATACTCCTCATAACTCTTTTCCAATCAACTGTTTCCTTTTAAAATATGTTCATTGAAAAAATCTGCAACGATAGCCATTTCACATCATCTGTTTGCACGACAGATGATGCAGATCTAATGTCTTATACTCATGCGATCTATATTAATATGCGGTGGCGCTCAGATGCTACAAATCTAAATTGCAAAATAGGCTTGAATTCCGTTACGATGGAAAACATTGAGATAGTGAAGATTTAAAATGCCGTAATTGTCTAGTCTAGTCTTAATTCATTGTGTACAGGGTAGCGCAGAATTAAAGTTAAGGTTTAAATTCTCTACAACCGTTTAAATTTCGGCCACATTCTGTTAATTTCGTTGAAATTAACGTCTTTAGGATATAACATTTCTTGGCTGTATGTTCCTTCAAATGAAGAATCCATGCGCGATTGGATTTGCCTAGTAATTATGCCTTAAAGTTTTGGCTCAAAATATTTAACGGATTTTTTTAATAAAATTTATTTAAACACTAACTTGTTATCATAAGCTACAACTCAATACTAAACTATACTATCGAATTATGTGGAGTGGACCATTCTGCTCTACCAGACGCAACTTTCTTCTAAAATCCCTGATGAGGACCTGTATATTGCTCAATAAACTAGTAGTGATGGCCGGAAACAGGTGTTGGGATAAACAATTAGAAATTCTCAAAAACTACTTGACCAAGCTACTCCAGTTTTGTAGTGGTTATTTAGAAGTACGAATCCTCCAAATTTGAAGAATTGCAAATATTTGCGAGAAACTATCGTCGCATTACAAGTGCCAAAACCTGTAGTTTGCCTCGGTTTTCGACCATAACTTTTTTGCAAGTAGTCGGATCTTTTACGTAAGATCTCATTTTGTAGGTCTTATAAATACCTAAAAATCTTATATGAAGAGTTTTTTCATTCCTGCCAACACTTTCGATTGAATGCCAAAAAACACGTTTTTTCATTATTTGTTGTCGAATAAAAAGTTTACCCACAAAAATTAGTGTACCCATTTTATGCGTCTATGTTTTGAATACTTCCTTGAACAACTTGCAGCAATAAAACCAATTTACAATTAGTTCGCAATCCAAGGGTATTTTCGTCTAATATGATTAAGACTAGGTATGTGGCGCACTCTTTCTACACAAGTGGTGCCCTCTTCTACCCCTCTCTCTTCCTTCTACACATGGAAATCTAAAAGAGAAGGGGACTTTCCATAGCACTGTATGCAAGTAGTTAAACTATGATTTGCTATTGTATACATTATATACATTGTATATATGAGTATAGAGACGTTATATATTCACCATTGTATACGCGTATACAATTGTGCATTATACATGATGTATACAATGCGCCCATCACTGCAAAGGAGACGCGTTGTGGATAAATTAAAACTTAAGTTTCATTTTGCACTACCTCTAATATCAATCGACTTTTGTTCTAATAGGAACTCTTCCAAGCTCTTACGCATACTTGTACAGCAACCACAGTGAATAACTTTTGGTGATAATTTTCAAGGAAACAAACTAAAACTGAAAGAAATGGACAATGGGCGACCTCCTCCTGAAACAGAAACCGCCTCGTCAATCAGACTGGCAGAACCCTGACTCACCTAACAGAAAGCATTACCCTCCAGGTTACCATAAGGCTCCCAAAGGACTCATTCCCTGCCATTCCGGTCATCCGCACCTGAGACCAAATGAAGTATTCTACTTTCAACACCCTAGCGAACCTCCCATCATATATGAGGATCATTACGTCAGACAAAATAACGCCCCGTTCAGACTTTCCGATGGTCAGTACCGACCTGCGGAGCACCAATTCAGGCTGAAGGAACTTTCAAGAGGCGACTTTCAAAAATGGCGAGGAGAAACTGCGTATTATCCAACCCCAGTGTTGAACTACCCTCCGAAAGTTACAGGGGAGCAACAGTTCCTAGCGCCCTTCTACAGAAATGCCATGCCACCTCCGCCAAACCCGAACAGACTGCTGATGGTAGATCCCAGAAGAAGGTCCACTAGCTCTTACGTGGCAAGCAGCAATGGTTGGAGGACAGCGTCATGTTCGTGTCGGTCCAAATCCATGGAGGATGTTCGAACTGAGATAGTTGAAGTGACCGAAACGAAAGAAACCAAGTGGCAGAAGAGCTGTAATGGTAGACAATCGGCGTCGCCGCCATGTAGGAAGGATCATAAATTGTCCAGGTTTAATAATAGGAGGTCCATGGATAACCTGTTGGTGGAGGTCAATCATCATGCAGTGTCCAGCAGGAGTAGGATAATGAAGGTAACGTTTGACAGTTTCAATACGTACATGAAACAAATTTGTTTTTAGCAGAATTTTCTTTCCATGATGTATCAAAGGGAAAGTGAAAAAACATACAATCTGACACACAATACATTGGTAAATAATTAGAGCTGAAATATTGTTAGGGCAGATTTGAAACTAGCAATCTACGCATTGGAGAGAGATTTTTGTTACAAGCGAATGAAATTTGGTGCGCTCAGGTAATTTGGGGCGCTGAAATTGAATATGACCATCATAAAATGGTGACGTGTTGTGGGGCTAAATTTGAGGCATTAAAAATAGTAGTATTGAGTCTTCGGCTACCGTCCTAACGTACGTGTGTCTATAATGAGTTCAAATTCCATTTACGCTCCGTCAAAACAAACACAAGCGCGCGACGTTGAAACTCGCGCGTTTCTATTGTACAGTGGGCGATAAATGCCTGGGCGTGGCGACGACAAGCGAATAGTTGCGGCAAACGCGTGCTTGTTTGTTTCCACGTTTTGACGGGGCGTAAATGGGATTCGGATACATTTTATTTCTAATACTTTTTATTGCACAAACTTCAGCCATATCCCCCCCCTCTCCCTCCTACAGACGTCTGAGCTATCACTATTTGCAGTGAAATGAAACGGTTGTTACTCCAGGAGCGCTAATTTTTAGGTATTAACGCATGGCTAAATGCTTCTTGTGGGACGTCCAGATTACGGATACGCAGGAAATTTTTGATTTTGCTCAAAGGAAACATCAAAATATAGGATTTCTTGGACAAAATGTCTAAACATGATCTGCTTTCATCCGTCTGGCAAAAGACAGCCAACCATAGACAGCGGTCACGTGGTGACTGGGCATCCAATTCGCGGACTGAGGTACATGCAATCTCAATCAGTAGCTGCTATTCACTGTTCGCAGTGGTCAACTCTAGTGGTAGATGGCGCTTCGCTCTGTCTTATTTCACAAAATTTCTATTTACGACCCGTTATTATAACCGATGGAACCTGGTATACCAAAATTGAGCATGTTTACTGGGTGTTTTTTCAATATGTGTCACTTTTTTATTCAGTCATTTGATCAAAATTGCCATGTTCCACAGTGGGGTAATCTGAAACGAAATTATTATATTACTTTGGGTACCAAGACGTGAAGGATGACCTAGCCCGAGAAGGAGCGGCTAATCTCCTTATCCATAAGAAATTGGAATCAGGAAAAGACCCTAGAAAGATGGAACAGCTAGTTAAGGCAATGGCGGGCAAAAGAGCTCATCAAACAACGAAAGTTTGTTATTACAGAGGACCTTCTCGGATTAAGGTCATAAGGGCCATAGTAAGTCTCTTTTTGTTTCTCTTGGGTCTAGTGGAAGAGGCCACATACCGATTCTGTAGAGAGCATGTGGAAACCCCGATATTGCGAAGATCTGGCAAAGCTAAGGTTTCATATATTATGAATCGCAAATCTAACAGCGGAAAGCTGCATGCAAAGCTGTTTGTCAAGGCTATGGACATGATTAAAGGGTCGTTGCATTGTTTATAAGGGGGGCCACAATAGATCCACATGGATCGTAGAGGCGTTTAGGCTTCAAGGCTCACCCATTTTAATCTATAATGAGAAGTAGACGGCGCTAGTTAGGTTGGCGGTCATATCTAAGGTTATGAACAGCTTACCTTGCTATCAAATATGTCTTTTGCTTATCTGCTTTTGACAGTTTGACCAACAACCACGCCAGCGCCGCCTAGCGGGAGCAAAGTTGCACATCGCTGACATTAAATTGCAAACTACCACGACCGGAAAATTGTGCAAGCTTTTTCATTGTATCATTGTGGGATGTATTGCGACAAAATAATTGTTGACATAGCCATCGTTACAACTTAATATGTAGTATGTATATCCAAGAAGTAGTGTAAAGATTGTGAAACTAATAAAAAGTTGACTTCCTGTTATGCGGCTGTTAACCTGCATTTTGGTGCAGTGACTTTTCTATGTCTACGTATATTACTATATTCTAAGAAATTGTCCTAGTATTTTTTATTTCTTGTTTACTTAAAACTGTTATATACATATACATGATTACACATCGTTTGAAGAGAGAAAAAAGTAGTTTACTATCCTTAATGAGCGGTGTGTTTTTTAAATCATTTCAGCATTCTTGGCGTGTGTGTACGCATATCACTTTCAGCATTCTACTAGTCTACATGAAAATGTGCTTCAACCTATACGGGTTTTCGAACATATATTCACAAAACATGGTGACATTTCAATAATATAAAAAATGGCGATTATTCCTTATGCCAGCGCCACCGAGCGGCCGTACGGCAGAAATATTTGTGCATGACCCGTGCAATATAAAAATAAATAGATCTCAATGACAATAACAGTTATTCAGCCAATTTGAGGTTAAGAACAAATTTAATTTCAAACAGACAACAATCTGACACATTTATGATAGCAAAATATTTGCAACATTACCAGGCCTCAGTTGATCTCACATAACATATTATTGCAATATACACCAGGCCTATATTCCGCTATCCACTCGTGCGCGGTGATCGATTTAGGTCCCCCCACTATGCACTTCACTCTTGGCGATTTTCATTTGCATTTTCTAGCTCACACTTCTTGTGCACTTTATTTACCTATTATGATACTGATTTTCTAACAAATGTCTGGATGGTCAATTGACAAACATACCTGACATAACGTGAGAGCTTAATGTGCTTAAAAAATCAAATGATACTGTTGGTAAATTTATTGGTCGTTGATGTGGAACTCGTTATCAAATCTTTATTGAAGTTTGTCTGTTCTTCATTTTTCATCAAATATCCTTAATATACTAAGTGACATATGTATAAATCCAAACACCCAGTTTAAATGGTTTTATTTTAATAAAATTTTGTATAAGTACTTAATGAAGCACAATAAGTAAATGATAAAAATTTCAAAATGATTGCACTGCTTTAAAGCCCTTTGACCTTTAATAATGTGTGGATTCACCCTGATGTGCTACGCATTCTCCAACGCGCCTAGGCATGCTTCTGATCAGGTGGTCAATGTCCTCCTGTGGTATCTCATTCCAGGCAACCACCAACTCCTCTCGAAGTGCTTCTAGAGTCTGAGGAGGACGTTGAAAATTGAGCAATCTCCTACCCATCATATCCCACACGTGCTCAATTGGGGATAAGTCGGAAGATCTTGGTGGCCATGGTAACAATGTGACATCATTATGTCGAAAGAAGTATATTGTGACTCTTGCAACATGTGGTCGGGCATATCTTGTTGGAAAGTTGGATCTGCCAGGGTGTCAAGATAGGGTAAAAGATGGGGTTCTAGAACTTCGTGGATATAATGCTGCGCGTTCATGTTACCTCTGATGAAGATTAAAGGTGACCTGGAACCATAAGCTATAGCACCCCAAACCATAACAGTGTGACGAACATGTCTTTCAACAAAAAACTGTGGATTCCTCCTTTCACCACGTCGCCTTCTAACCCTGGCACGACCATCGTGCATGCCTAAACAAAATCGAGACCCGTCACTAAAGACAATACTGTTCTATTCCTGATCCCAGAGTGACCGTTGTCTGCATCACTCAAGGCGATTACATCGGTGTTCTCGAGTTAAAGGGATGACCCAGTGTGGCCGGTATGAAAACAACATTCGTCGGTAAACACTTCGCATGCCAATAGGCCTTCCGTGTTCTGCAAACCATTCATTTGCAATAGACCTGGTAGTGGAGAAACGGTCCCTTAAGGCCAATAATCTTAGGCGGCGATCTTCACGGTCTGTTGTTCTACGGCGGCGTCCAGTGTCCCTTGCTCTTTGCGTACGACCTTCTCGAAGCCATGCCTGACAACACCTAACCACAGTGTCTACACTTCTTTGCACTCTAACTGCAATTGCCCGAAAAGAAAGTCCAGCTTCCCGAAGTCCCACTATACCGCACCTATCAAACTCACTAAGTTGACGAAATCGTACAGGTCTCCGTACTCTAGGCATCGTAACCGATCGTAAAGGATGTCAAGAACCAAAATCCGCCAACGTTGATTTTTAACTGCGGCTGAAATATTCATTTTTAGAGCGTTAGTGAATTAAAAAAAAGCAGTATAAAAACCGGAATGTCCAACTGATAAGGCTGAAAATTTTTTCACTTGTTATTTACAGTAAGATAAATACATTCACCATCTTTTGTTAAAATAAAACCATTTAAACTGGGCGTTCGGATTTATATGTCACTTAGTATATATTTCAAAATTATGCTATGAGGAACGCTTGTTGTATTCTTATGTTATCTGTAGCATTTCTTCTACCATATACAAACTATTTAACGTTGCGTTTTGCGATGGCAATAATTAATCCACCATCTCATTTGAAATCTCATTTTGATAACTCTAGCATCTCTGATGACTTTATTTGTCTGAATTGTGCCAATGTACACGTTTATGCGGCTCATATCAAAGAAACTGTAAACCTTACAGTATCTGATAACTGCTATGTAATTAGTTTCAATTATCTGTCTATTAGATCGATATATTTTTTGCTGCCAACTTACCGTGAGCTCTATTCTATACCTATCTATTTATTATATTACCTGCACCGCTGTATGATGGTAAAGAAAGAGGTCAAAACAGATCAGAATGACAAACAGTGATTGGGTTTCAATGGATCCAGAATTGGGAAAAAAGTTTGGAATACTAAGGCAGTCAAGGAACTACAATTTCAAAAGATTAATCACAATCTAAAGATGTCAAAAATGTTTATTGAAATTGGACCAATACCCCATTTTACTTTGCAACCGAACCATAAATATAAAAGATGTCAAAAATGTTTATTGAAATTGGACCAATACCCCGTTCTACTTTGCAACCGAACCATAAATATAAAAGATGTCAAAAATGTTTATTGAAATTGGACCAATACCCCGTTCTACTTTGCAACCGAACCATAAATATAAAAGACGGGTGGTAAACAATCTCTTTCCATTTTCGCATTTTGTATCAACAAGTGTT